TTATAACCAATTTATTCCATCATCTTTTACTTTTAATATATTACTTTAAATATATGGTTATATAAAGGTTTCTGCTCTTAACCATTTGCAGAATTATTAAAGGTTTCTTGCTCAAGATCCTCAAAGGATCCTGAAAGTTTTAATACTTTATTAGTTGACACGTGAAATTTAGGAACGTAGAGTGTGACAATGTTGACTGTTCCCACTGTCATTGCCTCGTGGGGTTTTGAGGGGCGGATCCTTTTCTTTAGGGTCATAGGATTCCGTAATCTTAAACGTTAATCGTACATTATGCGGTCAGTTTTCGTTAAGTATATTTTATATTTAATTTTAAATTTTAAAATTTTAAAATAATTTATGATCGTATAATGTAAAATAAACAGTCACGATTACAAGATCTCTAGAATCCCAAAAAAAAAAATAATGCGAGGATCCTTTTCCGTTTTGAGGGAATCTTTGGATATTGAGAGAATGTTTGGATAGTATTGGATCATGATACAAATGGATCTCCATGTGTCAAGCCATGTGAAACACAAGAAGTTGGTTTGCACGAGACAAGACTTGGTATTTAGAGTTTTTAAGCCACGGATCCTTTTGGTGAGAATTCTAAAAATTCATAAATTATGTCTGTTTATCGTATATCGTACGATTAATTTTTGTCAGGTACTGTTTGTATTTGATTTAAAAAAATATATTTAAAATGATTTCTGACCGTACGATGTAAGATGAACGTATATGATTTACGGATCCCCGGAATCCTCACAAAGAGGATCTGACAAGGATTCGGATTCGTTTTTTAGGACACACCTCAACAAAATCCATGGAAAAGAAAGTATAAATGGAAGTTGAAAATGATGATAAAATTGAGGTTTCTCTATAAAATTAATTTGTAATATGAGAAGTAATCTAATTGTTTATATATACATGCACAATTTCTTCTTTTTTTCGCTATGTGATTCATATTCTTGACATAAGATACATATCCTCACCAAGAATCGTATAAAGTTAGGTTTTTTTTATTAGCACCCCACATTAAAAATTTAGAGAGCTACTAGACCCATCACATTGTCTTATTTTCTCACCCACGTTATAATCTCACCCACCTTAAAAAGTTAAAAAATTTAAAATGATATTTTTCCACCCACTATTATTCCCAAAATAACCTTTAATATATATGTACATATGAAATTATAAAATTTTCTCTTAAAAAATATAACAAATAATATGTAAATGAAAACCACTAAGGTCTGCAAATTCAAATGGAAACGACGGAGATATCCAAATTCAAATGACATACACACAAATTATTCTTCTACCTTTTCAATGGAAACATAATCTTTTACCTCTTCCGTAGAAGCGTCATCTTTCTACCTGTTCAATGAAAAAGTCATCTTCTAAGTCCATTGCTATTTTTTTACTTTTTCTGAATGAAAGGAGATGAAAATATGAGTTAGGGTTTAAGGTAGACAAATTGTCTTCCATGCCCAACTTTTTTTTTTTTAATTAAGCAAAACAAGATAATTAATGTCCTTATCAGTCTTTTTGTAAATGGACAAATATGTGATTAAAAAATTAAAAGGTGGGTGAGAAGATAAGACATTGGAGTAGGAATAACATCACTCAAATCAGTTTTAACGTGTATAGTCCAAAATTATTTATCCTCTTCAATACTTCAACTCTTTTTTCTCAAAAGCACTTTCACCATCCTTCGTAGAACACATCCACTGATGACTGATTCATCAGGGCCATTGTTGACCTTTATCGTCAAACGTCTCTCAACTAGTTGTTGGCAAATAGGGTAGCGGTTTGTTTGGAATCTCAAGAGCTTGTCACACACATGCATTGCAGCAAGAAAAGAAGTCCAACTAAAAATCAGTCGAGCGAAAATCCACCATAAATTACACTCAGGTTGATTAAAGTAGATTAGTTTTGCGAATATAGGATAGATATCGAAGTCATGGGCGGGATGGGATGCCTCAGCCTTGATAGCTATAAGATAGATATCCAAGTCAGCTACTTTCAGTAACTTTGTATCCTCAAACATTGAGAAGTTAATCCCAGTTTTCGAGGGGCTGCCTGAACTTCTGGCCCAGACAGTGTTCAAAATGTATAGTCACAGGTGGACGAAGGCTAAAATGTATTGTCATTTCTGGAATTCACCTGGGGGCTGCTTGAACTTATGGCTCAAACCGTGTTCAAAATGTACTGTCACAGGTGGATGAAGGTTAAAATGTATTGTGATTTTTTGGACACACACTTTCACTGATCCACTGGTCAGAAAAAAGTTGAGCAAATCCTTGTTGCCAAAAGATAATTTAGGGGAAAGAAGTGAACAAATCCTTCATGACATGAATGATTTTGTATCAAATGGCATAAGAAGAAAGAAACCATTATGAAGAGAGTGGAGTGTATGTAGAAAATGCAGGGTGTATGTAAAAAATGTGGAGTGTATGTAGAAAATGTAAGGTATATGTTGGGAGTGTGGGGTGTGGGGGTATTATGGAAAAGTACGTGAGGTGCAATAAGATAAATTTTAATTAAAAAAACATATATGAGGTGTGTTAAGTATATGAGGTATATTCAACAATATGTGAGGTGTTAATATAACAAGCCTAAAGTTATCAATCATATTGAAGTTGAATAAGATAAAATGATGTTATCACGTAGGGATAACATGGATGTAGTTAGCAGAGATGTATATGGTACATGGGTAAATTGTTTATGGGGTTACATCATGTCAAAGTTGGTCTTCCACCCTCTTAACCATATATTTTATATGAATGACAATTGAACCAATGATGTCGAGCCATAAATAATCTTTAAAATTCTAGAGCTGCAATGTGTACTTTTTTCCTGAAGAAGATAAGAATGCTCTTATTAAATTGGTAAGGTACTCATTTAAGTTCAATCTCCCTGAAGACATGAGCAACCTACTACGACATCATCAAACTCTTTTGCCCATGGCAAAGACAAAGGTCAAATGCATTAAAGATAGGGTTAGTTACCAAATCCTATCTTTAATACTCTCATAATTGAAGATCAATTTAAATAGAGAAGGAATCTCAATTATATACAATCAAGATACTTGCTAGATAATTCCAAGATATTATCTCATAACTAATATATTTGAGATTAATCTTTCCTCATTCATTACACGGATAATTCACATTGGCCAATCGGATGCAGCCATGTGTAAGGCAAGACCCTAACCCTATGGCTAGACCTAGCTCTATAAATATCCCATCTCCACCAATTTCTGGTAATCTTTTGCTACGCACTTAAGCTTTCAACTCTCTTTTCAAAGAAACTGACTTAGGCATCAGAGATCTATTGGCTAACCCCCTCCAACTTGTAGGCGCATGAGGCTTTGGCCTTGATCAAATGTGTTTAAATTGTTTTGTAGGTACAATTTTGTCAAGACTAAAGACGACGAAATTTTGCTACAATAAATTGGTGTTTTCATTGAGAGCTCGATTTAATATGCTCGAAAAGGCTCTCACATTCATTCTTTGAGATTTTCTGTTACGTTGAATTTCCCTTAGACTCCTAGTTATTGAATTTTTTCCTAGAAAAGTTCCTTGATCAATCCTTGGGAAAAGGATACAATGGTAGGAAATTATGAAACCACGACATATAGAACAACCTACCTCGAAGGATACAGACTGGAGGATGGAGACCAAAACATGGCTTGCGTTGACGCTCTTCGAGGCTTAACACAACGACAGAATGAGCCCGACCGTCGAGGAGCACCACCGCTGCCCACTGCAACCCAGCCAAATACAATGCCCACTGCAGCAGCAACTGTTAGAGATTTCAATAATAAATATATAAATTATTATATATATGACTTGGCTGCGTTGTGCAGCATGTGTGTGTGTGTGTGCGCGCGCAGAAAGGGCAGCAACCTTACAAAAGGTTGTGTTTTATTCAACCTTTTAGGGTTGTATATCTTTTGAATGGTTGCAAGTTTTGGTTAAAAGACATGATGCTTACTTAAATTGTATGAGTAGAATTAAAAGATATAATTACTCAATATTTATTTTCTGATAATTCTAAATAGAAGACATGTCTTTTGGATCAACACTTTTAAGAAGAGTTGTATATCTTCAACTAAAATGAAAGGACTCGATGCACGGGTGCTTTAATGCCTATAAATACCTATTGTGGCATAATGTATGTTTCACACATAGTTTTCAGAAATTTGTTTCTACATTCCTTGCTCTCTTTTGTCTCCATCACATTCATACAATTTCTTTTTAGTTAATTCTAAGAGAATACAATTCGGTTTTGCTAATCGAATATTTCATACTTTGTTGTATCCTGGAAGTGACTTGCCAATAACCCTTTAGCAAACTCATTCGAGTGGGGGCAAATAACACTTTAAGGAAACGATTCAAGTCATACCTCAAAGTCATCATTCGAATTATTCTCTATATTTCTACTTTTTACTCTATCAGCAACAGCCCAAGTTGAGGCTTAGGTGCATCATAGGCAGGAGGCCCAGAAGGAAGCAACCCATATTGCAACTATAATCCATGACGCCAGGCCTAGACAACAACATCAAGCCTTGATGCCCAAGAGGCCAAGACCGAGCACAGCGCGCAGTAGAAGCACCACCAAATCTCCCTATTTCCATAAGGGAGTAGCGATGAGAGAACTTTAAAGCTTTGCATTACGGTTACCTAGAGTTGAATCGTTTCAATAGAGCTGTGTGAACGTATGACTTGTAGGGCATCAATCTAGCACCTAGTGATTTATGATAACTTTTCTTTTCTTTTCGTCGTGGAACAATGAGAGAACTTTGAAGCTTTGTTTTCCCGTTCCCTAGAATTGAATCTCTACCTTATCTGTATAGTTTTTCTTTTCACTTATGGTAGAATTGGATTTCTACCAATATGTGCATAATGACATTCTTTTTTTTCTTTTCTTTTTTTTTCCAATTTGGATTCCTCAGGGACAGGTACGACAGCAGGGAGAATTTGAGTCCATTTACCGTGACATGAATGTTGGATTTGGGACCTGGGAATTCAGTCCTCTGGAACTGGAAAACCCATTCCCTAACAATGAAGCTTCTGTCCACGTGTGGCATGGAGATGAAGATCGCATGGTACCCGTTTTACTGCAACGCTACATTGCTGAACAGCTTCCATGGATCCACTATCATGAGATACCAGGTGCTGGACATTTGTTGCCACTTGCTGATGGGATGTGCGAGACCATTGTCAAGGCACTTTTAACCGACGGATAGTAAACATTTCCTCTTACGTAACGAGCTACCTCGGGGTGAACTTTTCTGTGCATTTCTCCAATACGGAGTTACTGAATTTCAGTTAGTCAGTTTGGTATGTATGATAGATCTTGTACCGGCCAACTCTGTTTATAGATTGTTGCATCATAATGCAGTTGCTTCTTAGGGATTGAATTTTGAAAGTTGGATTTGAGAAATAATTGTGTGAAACTAGGATTGTTGCTTGGTACGTTTGGATGTGGAGCTATTCGAAGCGAGATTAATGAAAACTTTGCACCACGTAATTTCTTTTTCCTTTTGTTGATACAAATGATAGCAGGGAGGCGGAAATCGAACTAGGACTTGAAGTGAAGAGGCGAAAACTCTTAGCTAATTGAACTACAAACTTCTTGCACCAGAAATTTCATTTAAGTACTGTATCGATACAAGAAACAATAAGATTGAAGTACCGTATTGATACAAGATACAATAACTAACAACGCTCCTCCACAGTTATAGGGCAAATCAACGTAGAACACAACTCAACTAAAGCAATTGCCCCTTCAATCCCGCTTTCTAACTCATACTTTTTGGATCAAATCTTCTTCTCATCGTTCCAATCTGCTTAGGACTCAATCCAAATGCCTTCTCCAAGAGCTCATCGTTTATTCCCCGACCCGAAAATGGCAGAGGGGATCCTTTGACTTCCTGGGTTTTGGCTGTTGAAGCTACCAAAAATTGTAGCAGGCTTCTTGCCAACATTCATTTGGAAGTGCACTAGACCCCTAGGGAACACCATGACCTCCCCTTGCTCAATAACCCTAGCAAAAACCCTATTGGTTGAATCAACGAACCCTGAATAAACACTCCCCTTCACTACGTGGGATATCTCTGTGGCTCTAGGGTGGAAATGTGGTGGATTGATTCCACCAACTATGAGGTCAGCTCGTACGAATGACATCCCGAGCGTGTTGATCCCCGGGAAGACTGTTGGGTTCACTGCGATGGCTGCGATACCCATGTCGCTGAAGTTTCCGGCCACCTTCATCCCAGAGAAGATGAAGTCATCGGTGGTGGCCTCGGACGAGTTCTTGCATGGGAGGATGGTGTGAAGAGGTGTTCTTATGGCACCAAATTTCGGGTTCGGTATGCAGTAGTCTTGAATCGGGTCAGGATCGGAAGCCATAACATCACATAGGAGGGCAAAAATAACAAGCAAAATTGTGATATTGGAAGACATTTTCTTGGCTATTCAACCGGATTAGAACAATATATGTACCCACATATATGTCTGTGTATATATATAGGGGTGTACATGTGAATTATGAGCTTCCTTAATGATGAGATTATATTTAATTAACAACCTTATGGATGTGGGATACAAATTACAACACAATAATCTAATTTGGTCCCCTACTGATGCCTCTCTTTTGCAGATTGGTCCCTACATTTATAATTCCAAAGTAAAGAATTATATTGCAAGGATCATATATACATAGTATGAGAAATACAATGTGGAGGATAACATTATGATGGATGATTACTTCTTCTTCGATGCTCTGCGCGTGACACAAGACCTGCCGGCGCCTGCATTTTGTGTATTTGCATGTGGCCAAGAAAAATGAATGGATTTGATAAAGCTATGTATGAATCATAAAACTCCGCCTATGTATCTTACATTGCCGGTCCCAAGCCCGGATAAAGGAGGAGGGGGAGGGCGTCAGGTAGTCGACAGCCGGCACTCCATGATCACGTCGAATCCTTATGAAAATTAGCCGACCCCACTTAGTGGGAAAAGGCTTTGTTGTTGTTGTTGTTGTATGTATGAATCATAAGGTAATTTTCTTTGCTTGTGAGTGAAGGGAAGCTGACTACTATTTGCATCATGTGCCAGAACAGTAAGTAACTGCTTAGAAGGGTTGCTATTCCACCACCTGCAACAAAGAATATACGGTTACTTGGTTACAAACCTCGCTACAGTATAAGATAAAAATGTTACAGTTATAAACACACATATATATTATTGTAATACAACGAGATACACACACACACACATGTAAAAATGTTATAGTTACACACACACACATATATATTATAGTTATACAACGATATATTTAAAGGAAAACTAATGAAAATGGCCTGAAAACTTTAAATTTTAATAACAATAACAAAATAAATGGTAAAGTGAATAGTATCAGAATTGACTTTTTAGTGTAAAAATGTGGTTTTTCGTTAAATAGAACAGTACCGGGAGCTTTTCGTTAAATTTCCCTATATTTAAACTAAGGGAGTTAAGAAATAAAATAATTACGAACTCGTTATTCTCGAAATTCAAATCTAAAATCTATCGGTTACAATGAAAAGAAATTCTTCATTTGATCCATTTGTTTTCTTTATTTCTTTGTTCTTCAAATCATTGCATGGATGAATAATATTTATTTAAACTAAAGAAAATCTAGATTAAATACCAATTTTAATAAAGATTTTAAGAAAAAAATATCAACTTTAAAGAAAACTACCAATACCTTCTCATTCTGTTTGAATTAAGCCACAAATTGTGAGCAAATACATTTATAAGCATAGGGACATTTATCTTTTTATCCCCACTGCACATGACCACATGCAACCGGTGAAAGTGCCTGAAATAGTTGCCGGTCACCGTCATATGTGACATTTTTTCATTTTCACGAATGTTTTGCTGTGTGAGTATTGTTTTTTATATATATGCACAATAACTTTATTAGAGAACTTATCAGAAAATTCCTTAGTTAACATGGATTTTTGAAGGTCAGTGTTGGACAGTGACATTGAGACCGAAAAATTGATCATCAGGTCGTTAGAAAATTTGATCAACCAGTCGCAGGAAAAGTTGGCCGGTTGAAAAACGTTGTAGAATTCAGTCACAATCATGTAATATATTGAATTATAGTAGTATTTGTAGAATTGTTTTTGTTGACTTTTTTATTGGTACCTAATCTAAAAACATAATATTTTAGCTAATTTTTTTTTTTTTTGGAATTGGGATTTAAACTAAAAGATCCATTTAAATCAACCTTATAGTATATTCTATATAAATGATAGGTTATTTTTCCCGTTAAGAAGCATTTCATTAATAAAACGTGGGGTTCAATTTGACAGAAAAAGGGCAAAAGAAAAAGAAACTGGGGTTCAAACCCTATTTACAAAGGCCAATTGCCAACAAAGACCCAAGAAACAAATAAGCCTCAATTGATTCATTTGAGGTGGCTCTGGTCCATCCCATACTCGTGCCGTGCTTCAAAGAGCGTCGTTTAGTCCCACTTTTTTCATTTAACCACATCAAGCTTGCCACTCTGAGCTCTCACAAACTTATCATAAGCCTTTTTCTCAGATTTCATAGCAAGGCTAAGAACATCATCAAAAGTCTTAATATTTTTCATGGAGTGTCATCTGCCTCCAACCTTCTGGTATAGTTGCCAAAGACCTAATAACCGGCAGGTTTTACTCTTCACTAAGTTTGTTATCAATCTTCTTCATATCTTTTTTTATTATTTTCTATATCTCAATAGGTTGGATTAGAGTGTGTAAGGTATTCATCTGATATAGTAAAACCTTATATGGTCATAATGTTGGGATCAAACTAATTATAACTTTGAGGAGATTGTTACTTAATACTTTAATAGAGATGTAGCTCTTTTTTTTTTTTTTTTTGACTTAGTAATCCTTAATGAAAATTGTATAGATACAAAGAACTACTAGTGGAACACGTCAATTTTTAAGATGTTACATTAAAAAAAAGAAAGACATCTAATTTTTAAAATCTAGTGCATGTATGTATGTAGTGCACTCTTTAATTTTTCTCTATAAACAAGCTTATGAAGCTAGAAATATTAAGTACCAGTAGGCTCAAAGGTATGTATTGTATATATTAACTCTAAAATATCAAAAATTGTCTCAATCAATTATAGAGAAATATTTTAGATCATCTTAAACTTATGTTTGTGACATTGTATATATATTATATGCTTATTGACAATTATCAGTTATCACTATATGGAGGTGAGTTTTCTTAATACGGGATCTAGAAAAATTATAACTTAGTACAAGGTGGAGTTTATTCCTACATATAGTTGGCTCAAGTTGGAATCAGAAATTTTTGTGACTTTATTCCTATATAAAGTATCTCTATAGAGTAGTTAATTTGTCTAGCCATCATGTATTTCACATAGTGTGTAAAGAATGAACTTCCAAGGAGAGACCTTGGATGGGTTTATAAGTAAGTTGTGCAACTTCCCAGATTGTCAATTGGTTTTATGATGGAACCTCAATTTTTTTCATGGTATCAAAACAGGTTGTCACGCGTGGGAAGCCTAATGGCCACACGTGTTCCCCATCACCCTGTTTGTTGTCTACGTGCTAGGCTTGAAAATTCGTCACACGAAAAATGACATGTTAAGGAAGAATCCCACATTAATGAAAAGAGGAATCTTACATGAACTTATAAATAAATTAGGTTACTCTCCGCATTCCAAATTCATATTATCCAACATGATGATTCGCGCTCAAAGATCTTTCATCCAAGCGTATGCATCAACCTGAGCGGAATCTGTAACATCCATAATGTTTTCTGATTGAACCAATGTCGCCCCTCCTTGTCCAAGCGATGCGGAATCTTCTTATGCCACTCAACGTAATTTATTTAATCAATTACGAATCCCGTTTTCTCTACACACACTTTAAGAAAACAATATATATATCCATCACACATTCACTGGTCCGACTACTAGTAGGTTATGAACCTTTCGAAATCACTCTAATTTTAATACGTTTGAGTTGAAATATACTTTGTGACTTTCTCTTTACAAGTCACTCGTGAATAGGTCATATCACTCCAAAAACACACAGAATTCATCCCGATCATTAACTTGAAGAATAAGAAACAACGCTGACCAATTAAGAAGATCTGGATAAGGTTCTAGACTAGCACTTCCACTCAGAAATTGGTGGGAATTTTGAAACATTGCATTGAATTAACTTTAACAAACACGCCTATGCTCAATTTCAATTTCATATTTTTCTTGACGACGTACGCTGTCACATAATTTCAGTTCTATAATTTGAAAGGACACAAACTCTAGTTTGAAAAAACACTCGGCTTATCTAATAAATGTAATCTAGATCTTTCGATAATTACCCATATTTGGGATTATATAGAATTACCTTTAACTATATTGAGAAAGAAAAGTTGGATCCCTGTTTACTTACAACAACAAAGTTTTATTCCACTAAGTGAGGTCGGCTATATAAATCTTAGAATGCTACTGCGCTTGGTTTTATGTCAAGTCTTTCGTTAGCTCCAAATACTCCATGTTTTTTCTTTAGAGTCTCTTTCCAAGTCTTCTTTTGTCTTCATCTATCATTTTACTTAAGCTGGATATTTGTGTCGTAATTAATCGCATCTTAACAGAAGTATCTATATATATCTTCTTTGCGATATTTTGGATGGATTGTTCCCAAAGGTTTCTCTTTTGCAGGTTTGCAGGCTTCCAAAATTACTACAATAATTACATGAATTGTGGGTAGTCGCTGGGACGAGTAGCGTCCCAATACCTACAAAAGGATTGGACCACTCCGACTGCTGCACTGTTTCAACAAGAACAAGTATGCAAGATATAGTGAGATGCCAACCCTAAATCAGCGGTACGTACTGAACCAGAAAACATAATAAACAAACCACACATAATACTATAAGCAACATTAAATACTGAAAAAATGACTTTAAATTTGAGTGATGAAGAGAAAGAAAATTTCTAGATAAACCATATCTTTATTATATTTAAATATTTTAAATGAGCATACAAGGTTGGTTTGAGTGGGAGTGTTATTAGCATTCGTCAGATTGAATTTTAAAGATGCGAATCTCCAAGGTTATCCACATATATTTACAGGAATTTTTGTCATGCGTATTTGGAATAGGAAAAACTACAAATTGAAGAAGAGAGAAGAAACAACCAATGAGAACTAGGCTCTAATTGATCTAATTCTTAGATTTCAAGTATTGGATTTACAATACCGTGTATGCCACAAATGAGCCTGAATGATGAGAATATAAATTTCAAATCCAGTGTGTCAAATCATACACCTGAACATGTAAGATCAAATCTCTCACATTTGTCAAATTCATTATTAGATTTGATTGAATGCCCTAACTCAAACAAATAGAAAGATTTGCATCTCTCACATTTGTAAAATTCATTACTAGATTTGATTGAATGACCTAACTGAAACAAATAGAAATATTTGCTTGATTACCACTTACAATATTCATAACCAAAATGATTATGCAGCAAAAGTAAGACTGTCAAAATGTAGAAAAACCAGCAATTCATATATAAAAGGTGATGTTATTCATACATTTCTTTGAGAAATGTTAAGAGGATTATATAAAAGGTGGTGCTATATATTTATATATTTTTATGAGAAATGTTATTGGAACTTTCTCAAAAGTGTGATTTTCATAAATTCTCTGTCACTTTACAGTTTAACGTCAATTCTCTTATTAATATTATAAAACAGTGTGCCAAAAATATGAAGTGGCAAAGAGTTCCATTTTTGAAAGATTCCTCTTAGTATTTCGCATCTCTTTTTAACTTCTACACACTTCTCTCAAATTTCGATAGACGACAAATGAATTTAAAAAATCAAATACAAAAATTATAGTGAGTGAAAAAATAAAAAAGGGCATGGATAGCATTGAAGAAAGTTCAAATTCCACTATATTACCAACCAACAAGATAGAAAGTAATCCAACCTCTCAGAAGCTCTTTGCAAAGTTTCTTTTTCACTTGTACCATCACATCCTCACATTCAACCACATGTTTGACGAATTTTCAAGTCAAACATGTGAACAACACGAAGTGGGCGACGTGGAACATGTGTAGTCATTGAGTTTCACATGTAGTTCAACTTGCTCTGATACTATGAAGAAAGTTAAGATTTTACTGTAAAATCAAATTACCAATAGTAGCCCAACCTCTTAAAAGTCCTTATAAAATTTTTCATTTTACCAATATAAGACTCTTGTACCTTTACATCCTCACTCACCTTCTCACGTATAATGAATATTCAAGTCAAAGAGACACAGATACTATATAAAACCTTTATATGTATGGGATGATGTGAGACATTAATTCTATTATTTTTTGGCAGAAACATTACACGTGTTGCAACATCAACAAAGACCTCTTCTCCATCAGCCACCTAGCTAACAGGTGTCAAGGTTTCTAAGCATTAATGGGTATAATTTAAGGACTTGGATTGTCTGTCCTCCTAGTTGTGGTGCCCTTCCATGTCCTCATATTTTGTACGATCACGGTTAAGCCACGTCAATATTTTATATTAATTTTTTAATGAGATAATAAGACAAAAAAATAATAAAAATATAAAATATTGACGTAGCTTAACCGTGACCGCACAAAATAGGAGGGCATGGAAGGACACCACAACTAGGAGGGCAGACAATCTTTATCCATAATTTAGGACTGGGGGCATGTTTTTTTATAGAAAAAAAAAAGCAGTGGAGACTAGAGATTGATTAGATTGACTTGTACGCCAAAAAAGTGGCCCCACACCACGGCGGAAAGATAGAGGTGTGGTCATGGAATTGCTCGATCGACTCTCTCCTCCTCAAAGTCCCTCCTGTATACGACTGCACAGCCACCCTTAGGGCGCGCGCTCTCTCTCTGTCTCTCTAACTAATAGCCAAAAATGAATATAAAAAATATAACCCATAAACTTGGTGCTGTTTTAGATGCTGATAGTATATATAATATACCAAAAGTTTGAAGTAGATCTGTCCAAGAGTAAATTAAACAGTGTCCTGGAGTATTGGGTTTCTGGCATTTTTGAGTTCTTAGCCTTCGTCTTCAGCTTCCTACTCAATATTTACATTCACTCAAGGTACTTTTCTTTTCATGGGTTTTAGGGTTTCAGCTTAAATAGTTTTCTTATGCAATAGTCTGCATGTTTTGTTGGCTAAAACGGTTAAGAGTCTCTCTTATGTACTCAAGTTTGAACTTTCTTTCCAGTAGTTTATATGAGTTAAACTAAATATGTTTCTTTTTTATATTTCTTGTTGCTTTGTGTGTTTGTATGCGTTTGTTGATTTTATGTGTTTGTTCTGGGATCTGTTTTTTGAAGATGAATTTGTTATCTTATTGGTTGGTTAAGTAGGGGTTGGTTAGTGATTGTAATTTTCATGCAAACTGTGTAGTTTATTGTTAATGTGAGATTGTTCAGTGTGCTCGAACCAATGTCACATACGCCATATTTCATTATACATATGATGTACTGCCTTTCAGGCATGTTGAAGAATCTCTCGTTGTTTTTTTTTTTTTTTTTTTTTTGGACAAACGATAGATTTTTATTAGATTAAATGTTGGATTAGCCATTTATGAGGTTCGAAATGATGCCGTCATGTAGAGCTCAACACCTTTCCACCACTGAAGTAAAAGAACCCTTGCATCTCTCATTGTTAATAAGTAGATAATTAGTGCAACTTCGTTCTGGCTTTTTTATGTTCTGTTTGATGACTTTTTTGGTGTTCAATAATTGAAAGAGAAAATTGACCACTCTAAAATGAAGTGCAATAGTACTAAAACAAGAAAGATTCTCTTTGCTTTAGCTATCTACCCCGCATACATTCTATTCATGTTTCCTATTTAGGAAATGCATAATTTGATACGGACCAACCTATCTTGCATGCGTCATGTGAATATATACCTCCAATTGTTCACTAATCCCATGCTTTAATAGAACAGCACTAATTAATCCTTGGTTAATTTTGGTTGGTGTTGCCAAGGATATTTGTCCTTAAAATATAATCATAGCTAGGGGCCACAGAGATTCGTTGTGATTTTTTATAATACAAGCTATATTGGTTTTAAGAGATTTGAACACGAAACCTCTTGAGCATTGTGTATTATAAATGTTCTTAATCGCGTGGATAGAACCTCTCAAGCGTGTGCAGGGTAAATGTTCTCAATCACGTGAGCATGAGAGGTTCAGTGCAATATTCTCACTCACCTGAGCTGAAAGAGCGTTGCACATAGTTTTGTTGCTATTGCATGAATGAAATGTGTCATGTAGTTTCTGTACGAACCAATTAAATTCATTCTGAGTACTCTGCTTTGTTGATATGATTTTAAGTCAATATTTTCTTCTTTGTTTCTTAGCAAAAAGGGGACATTTAATTGGATTTATTTATTTATTGAAGGAACCGGTTAATGTCACACAGTTGTCTACACTTCAATAGACTAAAATCTTTATTCTCTGCAACACCGACAACTACTGCATAACTTTACCCTATGTGCTTCAATTTGATCGGGTTCATTACAATTTTGAAACCCATCATTCAATCAGGTGTAGATCACACAAACATGGGTGTTTCGGAGTCGGAAATCATCTCCCAAGGCAAGGTGGATTCACCTTTGTTATCGGACCAACAAGAGAAGAACCAGTTATTCTCTTCATTAGGAAGACAATCATCAATCTACTCTCTCACTCTTGATGAGTTTCAGCACACCCTCTGCGAGAGTGGCAAGAATTTTGGGTCGATGAATATGGATGAGTTCCTCACAAGCATTTGGACCGCCGAAGAAAACCAAGCCATTAATTCCAATCACACCAACACTTCCACTACTAACAACAACACGAACAACATTGAGGTGCACATGCCTTTAGCCGATGCCTCTGCAGATAAGCACATTGCGACGCAGCCCAGCTTGCCGCGACAAGGCTCACTCACACTGCCTGCGCCACTGTGTAGGAAAACGGTGGATGAAGTTTGGTCCGTGATACACAAAGGGCAGCAGGCAAAGCAGCAGAACAATCACAACGGCAGCATCGACGGCGGTGTTCAGAGTTCTGAGTTTGCCCCTCGTCAGCCTACTTTTGGGGAGATGACATTGGAGGATTTTTTGGTTAAAGCAGGGGTAGTTCGGGAACAGGAATCAATGGCAGCCACAGTGGTGCCTCCTCAGCCTCAGCAGCAGCAGCAATATGGGATGTATCAGAACGGCAACCAGGCAGTGGTACCGAGTTTTGTTAATAGGCCTGTGATGGGAATGGGGGCTGCTGGTGCAGCAGGTACTAGCACTGCTACCGGTATTCGGAATTACCAAACTATACCACAAAGTGGGTCTGCGGTTGTGGGAGAGTCCTCTGCGTATGCTGCGAATGGTAAGAGGAATGGGGCTTACCCGACAGTGCCACCTCCACAGTCGGTTTGTTTTGGCGGGAGAGTGGTGAATGGTGGTGATGGATATGCAGCAGGGCAGACAATTGGGATGGGGGCTCTTGTGAGTCCGGTGTCTTCTGATGGGATGGGTACTAGTCAGGTTGAGAACTCTGGGGGTCAATTTGGTTTGGAAATGGGTGGACTAAGAGGAAGGAAGCGGGGTTTAGATGGAGCGGTTGAAAAAGTGGTAGAGAGGAGGCAGAGAAGGATGATTAAGAACAGAGAGTCTGCAGCAAGGTCTAGAGCCCGAAAAACAGGTACATTATTTCATTCTTTTCTGACAATTCAGGTCCTACTACTGAATTGTTTGTTCTAATTAATTTCTGGTTATGATGATTCAGCTGCCTTGAATGGTCGAATTTAAATATCCTTTTGTGATGCTATTTTAGCAAGATAGACTATATATTCACTGAAGTGTATTGATCATCAATGGTTTAGTCATATGGTAGCAAAATGTTCCCTTTGTTTGGTTGCTCGATGAATAAACGGAGTTGCGTTGCCCCCGTGATTATAGATGTATTGATCAGTGGCGTCAATTTGTTTTTTTTTAACTTATCCAACGTTGTCGGTTTATAGTGCAAGGCTGCTAGGAAATGATCTTCGCCAAGCTCTTAATAGAGTAGTCCAGGTAGCTAGTCTGAATGTTATTAGCAGAACAGTTCAGTAGCTGCTAGGCAAGAGTTGAACTGGTACTTTGGAATTTTGAATCATGTAAAATTATGTGGATACCCAAGTGAAAGTAAATAGTAGAATTTCTCATCACATTTTCTTAAAGGATCATGACAGTAATTTTTATTTTAGTGATATATGCTGCTTTTACAGGCATACACAGTTGAACTGGAAGCAGAACTGAATCAATTGCGAGAAGAGAACTCACACCTTAATCAGGCGCTGGTAATGACATGAAAAACATTTCGATGTGTTGAAAGCTTTCCTACTCTTTTTGTTTCTTGTGGTGATATTGCTTATAATTATTGCTCCTGCTGATCGAGTTAAATGAACAGGCAGAGCTCGAGAGGAAACGAAAGCAACAGGTAATTCTTGCTTTAAAAATCTATGAGTAACAAAAAGAAAGGTTTTTAGTGTTACGAGCGATCTTGATTCATAGTCTGTCCAACATATAGTGAGACTGTCGGAAACCATTTTTCATATTTTTCGTGTCTGCAACTGCATGTAAATTCCAGTGTTCTGCCACACCCCATGAGTTAATTGATCACATTACGTATCCACAACTGAAATACTTTTTTACAGTATTTCGAGGAAATGAAGATGAGAGTTCAGAACAGGGCCCGGAAAGTGAAGGAGAAGCTAAGGGTGTTGAGGAGGAGTCATAGTTGTGGTTTGTGATATGCTATCTGAGAAACGGTAAATGCAGGCATATTTCAAATTTTTAGTCCGTCTTTGTACCTTTCTTTCATTTTCCGAATACGTTACTTATGCGTAACTTCCTTACTTTTGAGTAGCTTCCTATGCATAAAGAAAGAGCTTCCATGTAGGTCATTGAGGACTCGACAGAACTGAGGCGCTACCCAGGGATGTCGAAACTGCGCAAGCTCAGCTCGATGTTGAAATGGCTACAAGGTGAAGCAAATGATAAGAGTGCTCCACTGCAAGTGAAGATTATGTGACTATGAGAACATGAATGATTCAAATAGGTCAAATGTGTAAAATCCAGTTGAATATTAAATTTGAGTTATGTACTAGGCATGGTTATGCATTTATTTGTTGTAGTTTTTGTAGATTTCAACTTACCAGCTTTCGGATTGGAAGTTTTCTAGAATATAAACAAAAATGATTTAGTAATGTTAATATGCATGCTGTCGATTTGAGAATTTATATGTATCAACAGCTGTACAATAATAGTACTTAAGATTGTACGAGTTAATAGGTCGATAACGGTGACTTGGCGTACAAAAGTACTTTTCAAGACTCGGTTGGTCTATTATTAATTTTTTTAACAATCGATATTATTTACACTAAGAGCAATTCCAGCGTGGGACCTTTTCCTCATGCTATTCACTATTCAATCCATCATGTAAACAGTAACCACCTTTAATGAACAGTAATTGTTTTTTGCATCTTCACCGTTGCACTTGAATAACCCTGGCAATAGGCAATAAAATATAATTTTTTTTAAAATAATACAGAATAATTTTTTATTTGTAATTTCGGATAAGATTTTTAATTGTTCTCGTTGCGTCACATGTCATTATCCGAAAAGACAATTATTGGTGATGGATTTTGATAAGATTTTTATCCAATGTCATCGTGCCACGTGTCATTACTTTTCAGAATCTTTGAGGATAGATTTCAATCAGATTTTTAATCGTTCTCGTTGCGCCACGTGCCATTACCCGAAAAGACAATTATTGGTGATGGATTTCGATAAGATTTTTATCCAATGTCGTCGTGCCACGTGTCCTTAATTTTTCAGAATCTTTGTGAATAGATTTCGATTAAATTTTTAATCGTTCTCGTTACGCCACATGTTATTACCCGAAAAGACAATTATTGGTGATGGATTTCGATAAGATTTTTATCCAATGTCGTCGTGCCACGTGTCCTTACCTTTTCATAATCTTTGAGGATGGATTTCGATCAGATTTTTAACGAATGATGGCATGCCACGTGGCACTACCTACAACCTAATTTTTTCTAAATCCTCTATATAATCCATCATCCATCCTCTGAAATCTCACACCTATTTTCTCAAGATCTCTATAATTATTCATAGTTTATGCTTCATTCTTCACCAAAATCAAAATCTGTATCATTATTCATAGTTTCTGCTTCCTTCTTACAATGTCTTCTTCTTCAAGGATGATGTGGGAAATTGATCAGCAAGAGGAAGAATTGTTTAACTAATCAGAAGGAATGTTCAATGTCCAGGTGAGCCGAAATGAGATGGAAGAGGAGGAGGAGCGTAGAAGGAGAGATGACGAAGCAAGAATGGCCAGAGCCTCACATTCCCGTCGAGTCATCCAAGCTGTGGCTCAGATCTTCAGGCCCAACCATTCCTGAAACCTTGATAGAAACAGGCAACAATGAGGTGCGGAGCTGTTGGACGATTATTTTGTCCATAACAGTGCATTCCCTGATACGTACTTCAGACGTCGTTTTAGAATGGAACGACATTTGTTCACAAAATCATGATTGTTGTTTGCAACCATGATTCTTACTTTGTGCAAGAAAAAGATGCTTTTGGTGTTATGGGTCTCATTCTAAAGCAAAAAGTTACTGCTGCGATGCGGATGCTTGCGTATGGAGCATCTGCAGACCAAGTGGATGAGATAGCGAAGATAGGGAATCAACCATTCTTGAGTCCCTGATGAGGTTTTGCAGAGCAATCAAATCTATCTACACCGCAAAGTACCTCCGGCAACCTACTCACAGGGACTTGCAAAAGCTTATGAAGAAGGCTGAGATGCGAGGTTTTCCTGGGATGATTGGGAGCATCGATTGTATGCATTGGACGTGGAAAAATTGTCCAAGTGCATGGCAAGGCGCTTATAGGGACAGAAAATGAGCAAAAAGTATCATTTTGGAGGCGGTGGCATCTTTTGATACATGGATTTGGCACGTCTTTTTTGGGGTTCCGGGAGCTCAAAATGACCTCAACGTCTTTGCTCAATCCCCAGTGTTCAATGATGTCTTGCAAGTAAAGGCACTAAAAGTCACATACTACGTCAATGAACGTATGTACGACGAGCCATACTACCTAGCAGATAGCATTTACCTAAGGTGGTCACCATTTGTCAAAACAGTGCCACGTCCGCGAAGTGCAAAAGAAAAACATTTTGCAAGCTGTCAAGAGGGGTGCAGGAAGGATATGGAGCATTGTTTTGGTATCCTTTAAGCTCGCTGGACGATCGTCAGGGGTGCTGCTAGATTGTTTGATGTAAAGTTGCTTCGATCCATCATGATGACGTGCATCATTCTTCACAACATGATTGTGGAGGATGAGTACGATTATGATGTCGTTGATGAATATGAGCCAGACACAATGAACAATTCAAGAACACGTATATATTGTGCTCATGACGCCACCGAAGAACCCGTGCAACATGAGCCATTATAAAGGGATGGACGTTACAATGAATTGGTCATTCAACGATATACTGCACTTCAAAGGCCATATATGCACAATGCCCAGCAAAATGACTTGATAGAGCACCAGTGGGCATTGAAACAAGCTGAAGATAATTAAGTTCATCTAGTGTGTTTGTTTTTATTTGGTGTGTTTATTTAATTTTATTTGGTGTGTTTTTTTTAGTTCATTTTTAGTGAGTTTTTAATTATTTGGTGTGTTTTTTTTAGTTCATTTTTAGTGAGTTTTTAATTATTTGGTATGTTTATGTAATTTTATTTGGTGTGTTTTTGTCATTTGAATAAATATTCTCTTATAGTATAAATAACTTACCAAATTAAAGAAATTTACTCTCACTATAAATAAAGTATTAAATTCAATAAATTGAAAACAACATAAAGTACACTATTCAATAAATAATAAATTACAACCCAAAGTGATTGGAAAATTATGTACTCTGATTACAAAAAGTACTCTATTCATCATCACTTAACCAATTTTTGGTGCTAGGATGATCTGCTCTTGTCGTGCTAGGACCATATCCTCTTGCTCTCGTTTCTCTTGCACGCCTCCTTCGCACCACATCCTCTTTCTCCGACTTCCAAAAATATTTAGAATTTGGAGACTTCCCTTCTAAAGGCGTGTTCATAATGTCACGATCTCGTTGAGCCATTCTTTCTTCTCTAAATTGTTCCCTTTCTTGCCTAAGTAGCTCTCTTTCCCTCTCATTAGCTTGAAATTCTCTCTCAACAGCTGCAGCTTTTGCCTCATCTCTAGCCTTATCAGCCTCAAATTTCGCCATTTCCCGTGCCAAAGTCAATTCACCTTGGCGAGCAAGTTCTTCCATGTACTTTGCATAATCATTCTTGGAAGCACTCCCTTTTCTCTTTGAAGCCTTCTTACCTTGAGGCCTAATTGGATAACGGGTCGACCCCGACGCTTGTTCAGGGAGGGGCGTTTTGGGCACTTCTTCTGCATCATCTTCATGAACATGCGAGCCATGATTGGGTGTAGAGTGTAGATGGGTGCTGTTCATGAAAACTTCTGGACCGACAGGCACAACTCTAAATTTAGAACAATCTTTTACAATATTCCAACATTCCCTCCGGTTGAATGATTTATTTTTGCTTTTGGTTTTGGCACCATACCAAGCTTGTGCTTGAAGTTGCTACACAAAGCAGGAGAAGAAATAATTATAGTGAAAGTAGGTAAAAAATAAATAATACAAACAAATAATTATAATGAAAGTAGGTAACAAATAAATAATACAAACAAATAATTATAAATGAAAGTAGGTAATAAATAAATAATACAAACAAATAATTATAATGTAAATTTGGGTATAGTACAAACAAATAAATAATATATTGTTACATGATCCGCGTAATTTTCCCCACTTTGAAGATTAGTACTAGCTTGTGACAAGGCGTCTCTTCACGTACTAAACGATTGGCTAAGTAATTTCCAATGACTGGACATCAATTCTTTGGTTCTTTTCCCATCCATTTTCTCAAGATAATTGGTATGAATAAGACTTCACATTTCTCACAACTGCATCTCATTACCCGTAAGCGAACTATGAGTAACTTCAACCCAGCTAGTACACAACGTAACATCTTCACGAAGCGACCAATTTGTACCTGCATCAGTAGTTATTTTGTTGAAAAAAATTGGACTGAAACTTTGAGAGAAAGATGAGAATTTGATTGAAAGTAGTTGAGAAAATATGAAATTGTGGTGTAAGGTAAATGATAATGAGAAGGTATTTATAAAAAAGTAAAAACAATTTTTTTTAAAAAAAATTCAGATTTTTTACAATTTTTTTAAATTTTTATTGAACTAATTAATTTCTGCCATTGGATTTAAAAAAAATTGATTTCCAACACTCCAGATTGTGCCACATGTCACAATGGTAACTTTTCTTAATTTTAAAACAATTTTTTCTTTTTATTTATTTATTTATAAAGCAGAATATCAACCGTTGATCTCAAATCCAATGGTTGATATTAAATAAGATTTTTTTATTACCGTTGCAAATCGGACGGTCCAATTAAAGAGCCGTTGAGATCGAACGGACCGTGGGAAGCCACGTGGCTTCCCAACGGTAACCTCAGCAAACTACGACGCGAGCCCAAGCTCTGAAAAGCTGTTGGCTGACGCGCCCTCATGCGCGGATGAGTCACACACGCCTGATAGAAAAAAATATAAAATTGGGGCGACGCCAGGATGACGTCAGTCCTGGCGTCATATCCACTCGGGCTCTCGGGCTGGCAATTCCTCACAGGCCCGGAGCTCGGGCCTCCACTCTCCTTCGGGTTGCCCACATTGGATCTTTAAGGCCGGGTTATCTGGCCCTATTTTGTCCCCCGTCCCCCGAGCACTAGCCCACGCTAGAGTTGCTCTAAGTGGGAGGGAGTGGGCTTAGCCTCACAATGGGCTAGCAATAATGTGGTTCAAATTCACCTTTAGCAAGAATTGAACTTAAGACCTTTCAGTTACAAATGAAGAGAATTATCACTAGACTGTAATAATAAATAGCTCGTTTGGTGCATTTTTTATATTCAATAAATTGATTACAATTGTCATTATTTGTTTGTGCATTTTTAATATTAAATAAATAAATTATAATTGTTAATATTTCTTGTTAGTAGAAATAAAAGATGTTTGTTATTATTTATTTGAGTAATTGGAAATTAAGATGGTGTCTTCTAGTTTTTCATTTTATGTAACTCTTGTAATATTTTTCTTGTTAATTTGTGCTTCTTATCCTATTCATTAATATGGTGTCTTCTTGTTAATTGGAAATGAACTAGAAGACACCATCTTATGTAACTCTTGTATTTTAGTCATGATCTCACTATCCGATTTCTTCTGCAAGAATTATTTTGTATTCCTCCATCTTTTTGTTTCTACTTACTAGTCAAATAAGGGTGTTCGTGTGGTGAAGTTTTGGACTATTCCTTTTGTGCAGGTAGGTTTGAATCACACAATGATTCAATTGTGTTGATGTATCCTAGAGGAGACATATTGTTGTACTGGTTTCATAGATTTCGTGAAACCGCAGTGATCGGTTGAATCTCTTAAAAGATAGTGAAATACCCGCACCTCAGTCTAAGACCATCTCCAAAGGATATGTCAATCCTAAGTGGAATATCATGCAATCAAATTAAAGGTAAAAAGAAGCTCCAACTGATATATCTATCCTACGTATACTTGACATATGAGTCATTGGCTGTCAAATTTAACATAATAAACAGGTGCTGCCAATTAATTCTTTAATTATTTTATTGTGTTGTTGGTCCTATTAATGTACCAATTATAATCTTAAATTTTTTTTTAATGGGATCCTACAAATATCAATTATAACAAAAAAAACATATGAGTTGGAGGAAAACAAAATCTGACATCCACGTCAACTATCAAATTAACATTTGACATATATATTTTGACATCTCCATTGGAGATGCTCATCTACGTGCTTCTTAGAGGAATATCATAATTATCCCAACAAAAAGTATTTTTCAAGATTCATCTTATTTAGAAACTAGTCAAATACATCAACGACTAGCAATCACCGATCTCAACTACGGGAAATTTTTAGTTGTGACGGAAACACAAGTGGTACACCACGTATTTTAATAGGAGTGGTGGGAAATTTTATTTTTTTAAGTTAATAATTTTTTAGAACACATATCCTACCATTTGTATAGTGACACGTGGTGTACCACTTCATGTACCGATCACATTGAAAAATCTCTTCTCAACAACTAGCAATCACCGATTTTGTTTATGTAAGTATTTCTCGAGAGTCCTTCGGAGCTTGTCTCTCCTTGAGGGTGTGGATGGCATGAAGTTTAAAGAACAACTAATTATTACATTTAAGAGATTTTCAATAGCCTACTTTGGCATTTTCAAGATAAGGTACTAAAACTAATTAAATTGTATGGTCGGCCTCAAAACTAGCCATTCCTCAAATTAGATACACTAAAACGGGATGAGTTTTCAAAATACACGTAGTATCCGCGTGTAATATCCTCAATGCCATATTTATACTTCGGCATGCAAAATGTCCGGTTAGCAGGCCTTCTCGTCTTGGTGGTTAAATTTTGCGGGTTGGTGTTTGCCGGAAGATCAACGAAATAGAAAAGAATATTTTTGCACTTCGTTTAAAATTTAAATTAATTCAAAATCTGTCCCTTGGATCTCTATCAGCTATGGGTTCTAAACAATGTTGTTGCTGCCGCTGCCTCCTTTTCTTGGGTCTTTTCTTCATCGGCATCGCTGTTCTGTTCGTGTTTCGGGATAAACTAGGCCCTTCGTTAGAAGCGAGCTACAAGGTGACTGATGCCGTGTTGACGCAGTTTGGTACGGGGTCTGGAAAAACCCTCGAATACAACCTAGTTGCCAACATAACCGTCGAAAATCGTGAAAAAAATTTTGACTACAAGTATGACAAATTTGAAGCTGTTGCTACTTATGATGACAAGGATTTAAGTGCAGTTAGTTTGAGCACATTCGATGTAGCCAGCACGAAGACAAGTGCAGTGACTCCACTAGTGTTCAAGGGGCAGAAGTCTCTTAAGGGCGATGTGGCTTCAAAAATTAAGGGTGGTACGAGTTTTGATATCGTTTTGAAGATCAAAATTAAGGTTCTGTCCAGGTTTACTAAGGTAGATATTTTTAACGAGTATAAGGTGGAATGCAAGTTGAAGGTTCCTTTGGTAAATTCCAAGGGAAAATCTTCTGACAAATTTGAGAGTACCGATTGCGAAAAGGTTTGCATCTGTCTACTCCTCTTTCCATTTCTAACTTTTGAATGCTCTGACTAACAGGCTATTAACAAGAAATGTCGCAATTGGCTGGTTAACGGGTGCTAATCTAAAAATTGTAGAGAAATATGTTCTACAGATATCATGAGTATGCACCTTTCTAGTATGCAAATGACTAGAAAAGAAAAATTAGTTGTAATTGGTCCCTCACTAGCTATTACAATTTATTTTCTAAAGTCTCATGTGGTCTAATATCCTAGTAGCAAGGATGTTAGATTTCTATCCATGCATCTTGAGTTCGAAACTTCCCCTCCTCTATTTATTGTAGTAGTTTCGAACCCTTCCCTCTCATTGGCGAAGCTAAGTACAAGCCTCCCCTAGGCTATAGCATAGGATAGTTTTGATTCTTTAAGCTTAAAAATATTAATCTTTTGGGATGTTTTATGATTTTTAATTGTTATATTTCACTTTGCAAATGAAAATTTTGAATCTTAAGGCTGTTTTTAAGAAAAATAAGAGCTAATAAATTATAAATGTTAAATAAGCTCATCACTTTAACCAATATTATAATTTAATAATAATAAATTAAAACTTCCATATAAAAAATAGTTCCTTTTTTTATTTACTTAAAAGTTTTGAGGCTCGAAGTCTAGAAAACATAGTACAAATTTCTTGCTTCAATACTATTACTTTTAGGTTTACTATTATATAACATTATGTAGGCAACAAAAGATTAAAAATTTAATTTCATAGTATAAATTTTAGCTTAGCCCACCCACCGAATAATTCATGGCTACGCCATTGTTCCCTCTCTCCTTAATAATAAATTAAAAATAAAAAAAGGTTCTAAAGTCATTATATGCACTCGTCGTTTATGAAAAATATAGGAGAGAAATTTTCTCGAGATGATTGCATGATGACTTTTTTAGGTGTCAATTAATAGTTCCTAAAGAAAGTTTCTCTGTTGTTGCCCTTTCTCTTTAGGGTTGGCTCTAAGTTTTTGAACGTCCCTAAACTAACTAAATATGATTATTCTGTGGACTTCTAAACTTTTATTTAACCAAGTATAAGATGATTTGTGCAGGTTTCTGGAAGCACTAGTAAAGGAATAAAGATGTAATTTGTAGATTGGAGTCATCGAGGACCACGTATAAAAGGTAATGTACATGAATATACGTTTCTACGTTTCTCTTACAAAGTTCCAATTCTGTCCATATTCACACTTACATTAAATGAGAAAACCCTAATATATATTGAGGCAAGAACAGTAATTAATGAACTACTAATTTAAAAACTAAATCTAAACTGAAATTCATCCATGCATATCCCTATATCACATCATATGTTACTCAACTCTTAGAAATACATGACCAAAAAATAATGTAACTTAATGCCTATTTTGATGCAGATTGGGTAGAGAATTTTTTCCATCAGCATTTGAGAACTGATTTCTGGTCTTTTGTGGTTTCAATGGAAAATCCAAGTGACAATGGCAAGATCTTCCACTAAGGTAGGATATGGAGCCCGGACACAATGTTACAACGGCAGAAATGACTTGGGTTTTCGACAATTATTTCGCAGTTTTCATGTGTTTCTTCCCAAAGTTGAAGGCTCTGATCGTGACAACGTCTTCCCTATCTTTGTGCTATACATGTACCTCTCCCTCGATCAGGCTTATGTACTTCAAGGCTCGTTGTTCTCTTCTGATAAAGAGTATAGAAATATTTTACTATTCTCTCTAAAGTTTATATTCTTAAAAACAATTATTTTTAGCTACATATGACACTTGTACATTTCACAACATTTTATTTTATCTCATGCACTCCATTTTGTTTAACTTTACTCCTTGTATTTATTGTTCCGTTAAACTTCAGCACATAAACTGTTAACTTGTTGACTTGGCATGAACATTCTAGTAATTTTACATATTAATTAAAAAAATGGTAAATTACACTTTATCATCTCAGGTTTGAGGTCTATTGCAACCTCATACAACATCTTCAAAACATTTCACTTTCATACCTCATGTATTATTTTATTTCAATATAATACATCCATTATATTTTTCATCCATTGGTCAGTTAAGAGCTAAAGTGGCTGCCAAATTCGTGCCACGTGGCAATTTTTTTTTATGCATTTAAAATATTATAATAATTTACCCTATTAAAAAAAATTAAAAATAAAAATGAACCCAAAAACCCATTCCCCCCGACCCACCTCCCTCTCCTCCACTCTCTTCACCTCCCCTCCCATCCAAAAACCCACCCCCACCCCACCTCTACCTCCCCGAAGACCTAACCCTAGACTGCTCGCTTCCCGAATCCCTCGAATTCGACCACGTCGGTGACCTCACATCCCTGAACCCCTTCCCTCCTCCTCTCTCCTCGAACTCCTTCCCGAACCTCCGCCACGCCCAAAAATCCCACCCAAGCCCACCCCCTCCTTCCAAGCTCATGCATTTTCTGTGGGAGCGGAGACCGCCAACGAGCGTCTCTACGAATCGATTGGTGATAGGAAGAGGAAGACGAAGAGAGAGGAGTGCATGAGATTAGGGTTAGGGTTTGAGGCTTCACGAAGAAGCTCATCTCCTAGAGGGAAGAAGAAGAAGAAGAAGAAGAAGAAGAAGAAGAAGAAGAAGAAGCTATAAAAAATGGTGAGTGAGGAGAGGACTGAGAAGGGGATTTTTGGGAAGGGTGATGGGGGATGAGAGAAGGGGATGGGCTCGGGTGGGTTTTTTGGGGGTGGGTGATGATGGATGGGAGAGAGGGGGGTGATGAGTGGGGAAGAAGATTTGTGGGTTTTTTTTTAATAGGTTAAATATTATAATATTTTTAATGTATAAAAAAAATTGCCACGTGGCACAAATTTGGTAACCACGTGGCACAAATGTGGCTGCCACGTCAGCTCTTAATAGATTAATTGATATAAAATGTCATGGATGTATTATATTAAAATAAAATAGTACGTAAGGTATGAAAGTAAAATGTTTTGAAGATATTGTATGAGGTTGCAATAGATCTTAAACTTGAGGTGGTAAAGTATAATTTACTCTTAAAAAAATGATTAAACAAAAACAGATCGAAGAAAAGAAAAAGAAAAAAAAAACCCCCAGCCACCACCACTTCCTTTCCGCACCCCATCACCCACCCCTACGACATCCTCCGACTACCCTCATCTCCCTCAACCGTAACTCCACCGCCCGATTTGGCCCCACCCTCTGCTACCCCAATGACCCAACCCTTCCTGCATCACAAATCTCTCTCTCTCTCTCTCTCTCTCTCTCCCCACATTCTGCATCAGAGAAGTGTTTCTTTTATTATCAGTACTCTGCAAACTTTCTTTTTGTTTCTTCGTTCCTTGCATTGTTGGGATTTTAGAATAACAAAGAGAGAGGGGAAAGAGGAGTCTCTGTGTGTGGGGAGGGGGAGGACCGGATATGGTGGTTGATGGGTCTCAAGGGTGGGAGGAGGTGGTAATGGTGGGTACAAGGAGATCCGGCGGGAGATGGCCGACTGGAATTTTTTTATTTTTTATTTTTATCATTGTTTTCTTACACTTTAATTGTTTTATAATGTTTTTTTAACCCAGATTACATTAAAGACAATGCCACATCAACAAGTTAACAGTTTACGTGATCGAGTTAATGGAACATGGTAAAGTGAGACACAACATATAAGCAAGGAAGAAAATATCGGTAATATCGGAAATATCGGTAGTCCGAAAACACGGAAATATCGATGGAAATATCGGGATAATATCAATATCGATAAAAATTACATGGAAACCACGGAAATTGTAAGAAAAACTTGGAAATTTTTATTGAAACTTTGCAGGATGTTTATTTAGTCAATTATCTATTAGTTTATCACAAAAAATTGGAAGAAAATGCATTACATGATGGATTTAACTGATTTAAGTTGATTATACAGAGAGCTGGCAAACACTGTGAGTGAATAAAATATATAGTAATTAATGAAAAAAAAATTAAACACACCATAATCATTTATATATAATGATTTACTACAACTTTCAAGTAAAACTCATATTTTAGTTTTTAAATCTACCCTAATTCTGACATGCTGCCGCACCCATCAAATCTCTACTACCTTTCTTCCTTCTTCACGTGGGATGTACTACCTCCCTCATTTTCTATTATTTCTTTCCTTTCCACACACACACACGCGCGCACAAACACACCCCACTCCCTCATTTTCTATTATTTCTTTCCTTTCCACACACACACACGCGCACAAACACACACTTCTACACACACACGCACAGACACACTTCAAAGTGCAAATCCACACCAGGGACCAAGCCATTTCCTTCTCTCTCACTTCGACTCTCTCTCTCTCTTCTCTGCACTGTCTCTCTCTCTTTCTCTCAAAATCCTCTTACCTCTCTCCTTCTCTTGCCGTGACCACACACACAGCAGCAGCACCATCTGCTCGACTTGAGCAGCTCGAGGACGACACCACCATCATCACACATCATCAGCCTTCTCTCTCCAGCCTCTGCGAGAATGGCGGATGACACCGTGACCTCCACCGTGGCGCACACTCCGGCGAGCACCATCACCACCTGTGAGAGGCGCAGATCTTGGCAGCTGCGACGACGGAGCTCGGCTGCCGTTCCGACGACGGAGAGAGAGAGCGATATTATCGATATTATTGATACTATCGCGATATTATTGATAATATCGCGATATTATCGATATTACGATAATCAATTGGAATACTCTGAAAATATCGTTGTTGGAAAAAAACGATATTATCGGCGATATTTCGCCGATAATATCGATATTTAATTCCTTGCATATAAGTACGCGGTAAGTGCCCAAATTACAAATTTAGGGGTTGTTTTCACAAATAATGTTTGAGATTTATTGTGTTTTCACGTAACACTATATTTGAATGAGGGAATAAATTTGAAATTTTGACAAAAGTCAGAATTTATAAATTAACATTTACCAATTCCCTTGTTTGGATTAATAAACATATAAATTTAGAATTTCCGGGTGAAAAAAAAAATCTTGAAATTTGGGACCTCCAATTTCTAAGTTTAAATTTCATAGAAATATATGTCATTTTTAAATTTTCATGAATGAGAGTTTAAAATAACAAATTCCGTATAAAATTCTATTATTCTTATAGGTTAACTAAACAAGAAAATTCATAATTTCTAGAAAATAAAATTCCATCATTTCAAATTTTTTTGGTAATCTTAAAGTTTCTCATCCAAACGTTAAGATTATATAACTTTAGAATTTGCACTGACACGCTTGAGGTTTCAAGTGGCTGCAAATTAAACTCTATGTTTGGATGAGGAATTAAAAAGAGGGTTTGGACTGAAAAAGGGAATTAGGAAATCCCGATTCTTAACTAATTTGTTTGGATGAAGTAAAGAAAGGATCTATGACTATCTGCCTCTGATGCCGCCGTAGTCTCGCGGCTATCTTTAAATATTTTTTGAAATTTTAATTTTAATGTTGAAGTATGTATAAGCATTTGAGCTGATTTCTTCATCCTCAAATCATCATCTAACAAAAAATTCTAGGGCGTTTGAAGGAGGATTGACTTTTACCTCCAATCGAGCAATGGTAAAAATGGCGTGAGTCGTGTTCTTGTAAGTCAGAAGATTCAAGACTTGACCGTCATGGACTTGAAATCTGGTACGGACAACGTCAAGGCGACGCATCGCGGCGATGGCGTCGGCGGTGGCGGTTTCCCATTGCCACTACGATGCGGACGACATTTTTATTTCAAGACAGATCTAGAAGATTTCAGATAGATTGGTGTTTGAAAATTCTAGAGAGATTTATCCCAAGCCTCTGGACTCTTCGACCAATATGATTAAAAAAACGATCTGAATCTTAAGCCAAGTGAGAGAGGGGTTTTGGCTGTGGGCTGGTGATGAGTAAGGGAGGGGGAGGGGTTTCGGCTGTGGGCTGGCGACAAGTAAGGGAAGGCGATGGGGTGGGCCTGGGAGTGGGCGGGGAATGGAAATTGGGGAGTGTTTCTGCTTTTTTTTTTTTTTTTTTTAACTTTTATTATTATTATTTTTTTCAATTTTGGTAAAAGTTAACAGAGTTAAATTAGAGTTAAGTGGTAGTATACGTATCAAACAAATATAGAAGGAGACAGGAAGGAGACACCACTTTCGGGACAGCAGACTCGGAGTCTAATTATTTTGTTCTTGTTTTAAAGTTCTTAGAATGGATGGCTGAGATTAGACTAGTTCATAGGCTAGCAGTTGTGCTTGTTTAATAGTACACGCGCAAGGCCCGTGAATTAGAAAGATCATGATATTTGTGTGAGTGTTTATTTTTTTGAAATTTTTTGAAATGTCATATGAACTTGTTCATATTTTTCAATTTGTCATATAAATTAAAATTTTAAGCAATTTGTCATACCAACTTTATAAAATCATTAATTTGTCATCTCACCCTAACTCCGTTAAGTTTTCCATCCAATATAAGTTATGTGTCTCGCACATGACTTGTGTTTAGGGTTATTTAGGTCATTTTAACATCTTTTCACAAGTTTTTTACTTTTCTTTAGTACAAACACTTAAATTTTCTACTTTTCTTTAGCACATATATGCACCTGCAACTCCATTTATGGCACAAAACATCAACATGTTTCTCATTCATAAAGCCTATATGAAATTATGTCTTCTGAAATGCTAAATACAACCCACTGGTGTATCATTACATATTTAAAATAACTAGAAGAGAGTGCAGTGCATGATCATTTCATTGCTATCATATCAAAAATATTGTTCCATTGCTTGAGAAACCTTTATATTTTTTTGTCAAATACAACTTAATAAAAGGGAAGTGAGGTATTAGGATGACAGAAATAACCCTGAACACAAGTCATGTGTGAGGCACAAGACTTATATTGGATGGATAACTTAACGGAGTTAAGGAAAGATGATAAATAAATGATTTCAAAAAGTTAGTATGAAAAATTGCTTAAAATTTTAGTTTATATGACAAATTGAAAAATGCATACAAGTTCATATGACATTTCAAAAAAAAAATTCCTTTTTTTTTTTTTTTGTAACGGTCACCTGTACTCTTTCATCCCCAAAGTATTCATCGTAGTCGTGGGCGCCGGTGTTCTTGGCCACCCATATTCCTTTAAGCGCACTAAGTGGCTGATAAGCCTCCTCACGCTCCTCCTCATTGTGTTCCTCACCTATCATTGGGTTCACAAAGATCCCATCTCTTGGGGATCAACGGAGACCATAAGCGGCGATGCAGATCTATCGTTGATTGTCTATTTGCTAGACGGCTACGAGAATGGTGCGAAGTAGACGAGACGAGTCTGAGGCGAAGCGAAGCACACGGTCTTAATAGTCAATTGTTTTTCATGGGGTCTCGGTAAGATTGTCTAGTGAGGCCTTTAGTCGAGGCGAGTCCCTCGTAATCCTTTTAAAACTATTCCATGTGGTAACCAACACGAGACTACACTAACCGTTAGTGTAGTTCAATCCAATCCAGTGAAAGCTAGTGAAGGTAAACAAATGCATCCTAATTGAAATTAAAAAACACTAACACAGCCTTAGAGCCAAATTCGACCTAATATATATATATTTTTTTTGGCATAGTCTGTGATTTGGTTTTTCTGAGTTCCAACGAAGAACTCAGCTTAATCAACTGGCAAGATGGCTGGATCTGGATGAGCTCCGAACTCCAGTGTTCACCAGAGTAAATTACAACTTTTGTTGCATAAATATTAAGATGATTTTCAAGTCTCACAACCTGTGAAAGTTTGTGGATGAAGGATTTGAGATACCAAATGATTTTGAGGATGACCTCACTGAGAAGAAGATGATTGTGGTTCAAGACCTCATGGCTCATGAAAGAAGATGAATCATTGTTTGCTTATTTGACTAGATTGTTTGGATTGAAGATGAATGATGAGTTAAATAACAAGATAATTGTTGAGAAATTGTTGATTAGTTACTAGGACCTATGACAATATAGTCACTATGATAAAGGAAACTAAGAAACTCGATGAAATTCACCCCACTGAGGTTTTGCAACACTCAAGGGCTTTGAGGAAATGTTAATTAAACATGCTGAAGAATGAGAAGTGACTAAAAAGCATTCTTTAGCCTTAGATTACTGTACCTAGGGATGGTTCACTAACTAGCAATTATAACGAGAAAAAGTTATGGATAAGCAAAGATAAGATAGGTGATTCCAAAAGTGGCGAGAAGTTTGGTGCTACGGTGAAATATACTGGTAGCATGGAAGGTTTAAAAAAAGCTTGTAAAAAACTTGCAACAACATTCACTTTGGTGAACCTTGGTACAAAGGAAACGCTAAGTGTTACAGGTGCGATAAGTTTGTACATATATCAAAGGATTGTCATAGCAAGGTGACACAGCTTGTTCATTATGCTAAAAATGTAAAAGAGGAGGCCTCAATGTTTTTTGCTTGTAATTTATATATGTTGTTAAAAATAAACATGTGTGGTACATTGTTACTGCAGCAACCTTATGACCTCACATGAGTCATTACTTATAAATGTTGATAGAACTATGACTACAAGAATTAAGATGGACCGCAGTCAAAACGATAAGGTAGCAACCTCAAATCTTGCTATTTAAAAATGTCAAAGACTAAAACAGGAAGAGTACTTCTCACAAAATTACATATATTATAGGTGTCTTTACTATATATACCATTAAAATTTCCTAACGACCAGCACTTGTAACCAGTAACCTTACACCTTCTCTTCTTACAACTAGAAGGCCTTAACAATAATCTCGCACTCTGGTTTCGCGTTATTCGAAAAATCTCCTCTCTCAATCAACCATGCTAAGAAAATGTTGCTGCTGTTTCTGCATTGTTGTAGTACTCGGTGCCCTCGCGTTCACCGCTTGGTTCGTGATTCGTCAATTCAGCCCTTCTAAACCGATGATTTACCAGGTCACCGATGCCTTGCTGACGCAATTCAACCTGACGGCAACCAACAACACCATCTTTTACAATCTGTCCCTCAAGATGACTGTGGAAAACCGTAACAAATGGAATGACTTCCACTATGAACATTTTGAAGCCGTTCCTAGTTATAAGAACCAGGATTTGAGTACCAGTATTCTAGGACCATTCGGCGTAGCGCACAGGGATAAGTACGAGTTGAATCCATTGTTCAAAGGACACCGAACGGTGACGGCTCTTAGAAATGGGGAGGCTTCAAATTTTAGGAATAGTTTGGTTTTTGATATCGCGTTGAAGATCTATTTTAAGTATTGGACCAAGATTGCTATGTACAAGGATGAGAAGGAGCTCCAGATGGCTTGCTATTTGAAGGTTCCATTGAGTTCTAGCGGAAAACCAGCTGAAATTTTTCAGAGCACCAAGTGTGACAAGGTCGACCATTAAATTTGTTTCACGTTTAGTTTAGAGTAGATTATCCTTTTTGTATCACTCGCTTGTCATTTCAAGGCAATCTACGTGTTTGTATGTAGGAATTTTTTGTTTCCCAAATTTTGAAAAAAAAAAAAAAATCTTTATTATAGTGGTGTGACTCCCTTTTTTTTTAACTTGTTATTATTTTTAAAATTAACCTCAAATCACGACAATTAACATTATGGTTTAGTGATATTTATTTTTTTACTCGTAAGTGAAGATCTCAGGTTCAGTGTTAGGAATGGCAATTTTGATACCTTAATGGTCCATTTCCAATCAATATATGGCTTAGCCAAAATCTTTACCCCCAGTTCAGTATATCAGAAGAAAAAAAAAACATGGTGTCCTGAATCACGACTTTGGAGGAACTTAACGAGATAACAATTTGTTTCTTTATGTTGTGAGTTATATATTAGTGGAAGTGTAAATAGTAGTTTATTGTCCCACATTGGTGAAGTACATATGTAATACCAATTGTAACTCTTATATATACTCCACTTTGGAGATTAATGAACGTATAAGAAATTCCTAAATATTGTCATATATATTTTTAGTATTTACCATGTTTAGTTTAATATGGCATCAGAGCAATTCGCTCTTGGTGACCTATGTGCTTTAATTTTGTGCCCACATTTTTCATGATTTCCTTCGTTGAAAAAAAAATTAAAAAAATAAATAAAATGTCGCGCTACAATGTTGTGAACAGTGATCCTCTACAGTGCCGTAAATAGTAATTGCTACAGTACCGTGAATAGTGCTCTGCTATAGTATCGTGAACAGTGATTGCTACAGTGTTCTGGTAAATTGTTTTCATACTGCTACGTATCTTTTGTGCCTTTATTATTCGTGATTTTGTTCAATGGCTCAATATAATCATAGTGTTGTTATGTTCCGAATCATTTGTGGGGTCATGCTGTTTTGGCTGCTATGTATTTGATCAATCGTGTTCCAAGTAGGGTTCTTGATTTTCAGACACCACTTGATGTGCTACAAACACATGTTTCTCTTGTTTCTATATCAAAGCTTCCTCCGAAAATGTTTGGGTGTATTGCATATGTGCATGTCTAATCTCATCAGTAGAGTAAACTTGATGTATGTGCTCTCCGATGTGTCTTTATTATGTATGCTAACAATAAAAAAGGCTATAAGTGTTATCATCCTTCGACTTAAAAAACTTATATTACCATGGATGTCACCTTTCACGAGGAAGTTTCATATTTTGTGAAGCCATCTTCCAACTCTCCACTTCAAGGAGAGAGAAGGAGTGAAGTGCAGATTTGAAGAAATGGTATGGATGATGTGTTACAGGCAGAGTTAGGAACAGAACCTATTTGTTGCGTGATACTGATCAGTCGGCTACAAATAGTGATTGGTCACATGTTCCCGGAACTATTTCTACTGACGACAGATCAGATGTGCTAGCGAGTTGCCTGCTAGTATGTCTGACAAATTACCTTCTGAAGATCGGTTGCCTACTGCTAATATGTCTAACGAGTTGCTTGATGATGGTTCGTCCAGTGATGATTCTTCTAACAGTTTGGTACAAGATGGTGGCATACATGAGGTAAATTCTGACGATTCTTCTACTTATCAATTGCCTCCATGAGCTAATCGTGGAAAACCTAAAGTATAATATGAGCCTGATATGCATGCCAAAGCCAAATATCTTATCAACAATTATGTGTCTACTCATCGCTTGTCCAAACCATATGCATCTTACATATGTCAACTGTCTAGTGTATCAATTCCAACAAAATTGCAAGATATTTTGTCTAACCTTAAGTGGGTTAATGCCATGAAAGTTGAGATGGAAGCTTTGGAAAAGAATTCTACTTGGGATTTGGTTCCTTTACCAAACGGGAATAAAGCCGTTGGATGTAGATGGGTGTTTACTATTAAGCATAAAGCAGATGGTTCTATTGACCGGTATAAAGCCAGATTAGTTGCTAAAGGTTATACTCAAACATATGGGGTGGACTATCAGGAGACTTTTGCTCCTATTGCCAAACTTAATATTGTGCGTGTTCTTCTGCCCTTAGCAGCAAACCAGGATTGGCCTCTGCTGCAGTTTGATGTTAAGAATGCTTTCCTTCATGGTGATCTTAAGGAGGAAGTTTATATGGATCTCCCACCTGGTATTGAAACATCTCCTGAAAAAGGTGTTGTATACAGGTTACGAAAAGCTTTGTATGGTTTGAAACAATCTCCTAGAGCGTGGTTTGGGAGGTTTACAAGTTCAATGAAGAAGTTTGGGTATATCCAGAGTCATTCAGATCACACTTTGTTTCTAAAGCGACAAAATTTTAAGCTAACTGCATTGATTATTTATGTTGATGACATGATAGTGACTGGTGATTATCAGAATGAGATACAACGCCTTCAAAAGTACCTAGCTATTGAATTTGAGATGAAAGAATTTGGTGAATTGAAGTATTTTCTTGGAATTGAGGTTGCACGATCCAAGCATGGTATTTTTCTGTCTCAATGGAATTATGTTCTTCATTTGTTAGCTGAAACATGTATGTTAGATTGTAAACCTGTTGATACTAAGATTGAGCATAATCATCGTCTGGGCGTATTTCCAGATCAAGTTCCTACTCATAAGGAACGGTATCAGAGGCTTGTGGGGAGATTAATTTATTTGTCTCACACTTGCCCTAACATTGCTTATGCGGTTAGTGTGGTAAGTCAGTTTATGCACTCACCTAGTGAAGCTCATATGGATGCAGTAACCCGTATTTTGAGGTACTTGAAGATGGCTCCTGGTAGAGGTTTGGTTTTCTTCAAGAATGGTCATTTGAACGTCGAAAGGTATACAGATGCAGATTGGGTAGGTTCTATCACTGATCGGTTATCTACATCTGGATACTTTATGTTTGTGGGTGGTAATTTAGTTACTTGGAGAAGCAAGAAACAAAAAGTGGTGGCTAGGTCAAGTTCAGAAGCTGAGTTTTGTGGTATGTCTCATGGTGTATGTGAGTTGTTGTGGTTGAAAAAATTGTTGAGAGATCTTGGGTTTAAACCCAAGGGTGCTATGAAACTTCATTGTGATAACAAGGCTGCTATTAAGATTGCTCATAATCCAGTGCAACATGATCGAACAAAACATGTGGAGATTGATCGACATTTCATTAAGGAAAAATTGGATGCTAGAATTATTATGTTTCCGTTTGTGGGATTTGAAGATCAACTTGCTGATGTTCTTACTAAGGTTGTGTCTAATAGTGTGTTTTCCAACTCGCTTGCCAAGTTGGGCATGCGTGACTTCTTTGCACCAACTTGAGAGGCAGTGTTGCGAGTTATATATTAGTTACAGTGTAAATAGTAGTTTATTGTCTCATATTGGTGAAGTACATATGTAATACCAATTGTAACTCATATATATACTCCACTTTGGAGATTAATGAACATATAAGAAATTCTCAAATATTGTCATATATATTTTTGGTATTTACCATGTTTAATTTAATACTTTAAACAAAAAAATAATGTTTCATTGTTTATTTATGGATTAAGCATAAGACGTGGAGGTTTGCAAAAGTGAGAATAAGCTTTGAAATGGTGTGTATTTCTGTTGCACATAATCACATTCATTTCCTGTTAGTATGTGAATTTTATAGACTCCTTTCGAACACTTTTTTATTATTATTATTTGGTCGAGTGTAAATATAAATGAAAGGTTGAATAGGGGTACTGGTTAGAGATGATAAAGGGCAGTTTCGCGCGTTTGTCCGGCGAGTGTCTGACGTGTTGAACTCTGATATGATTGCATTTATGGCAGCTCGTGACGGTGTTCATTGGAAAGTGATTCTATCAGGCTTGTGCATGCTCTAGGTAGTTTACAATGTGAATTCTCCCTGCTGAGCAGGATTGTTGAAGACATTAAGGTGGCTTTACGTTCCATTCCTCAAGCTCAAGTTTCTCATGTTCGCAGAATTGCTTATATGGCAGCCTACAGATTAGCGGAATTGGCATTGTACTTTGACCATTAGTGTCTTTGGTTTGAGGATCCCCTGACCTCATCCAAGATATCTTGATGGAAGATTGTAATATAAGGAAAAGGTTTTTGTTTCCTACATTCATACATCACGTCGATCGCCATGTAATGTGGTGTAACACACACAATGATAGCTCTCTTAATTGGTAACATTTTTTCACACAGCAATGCCTTTTGTCAGTATGCTTATGTTCAGAAAGACGATTTTTGCTTATATAACTTAATTGATCAAGAGTCACTCAGTACTACGGTCTGATGGTATTCCTCTTCACTTGGAAGTGAGAGGTCTTAGGTTCGAATCTCGTGAATGGCGAATTCAATACCAAATTAGGTTGCTCATTGTGTGGTTTAGCCAAACTCCCCCTCCACCTAGTGTAAAAATATCGATTTACTCAAAAAAACTTAGTTGATCAAGAATATTTTACTCTTACACTAGAGGTTCATGTTTGATTTTTCCTTTCTCGCTTTCGATCGTATAAAAAATGAAATGAAAATATTTTTATTAAACACTAGAGGTTCCTGTTTGATTTTTCCTTGCAACATATTTTTATTTATATGTACTTAAAAACCTCTCTTATTGTCCCTATTTACCAATTTAGCCCTCATTAAAGGAAAATAAGCATGAAAAGGTAACTATAATTTAGGCCTTGTTAAACACATTTAATACTCATTTTTAAGTGAAAACAAAGTTCACTGGCAAACAATAGTGGAGAAGGTACAAAGGGAAATGCAAGAGGAAATGTAGCCAGTATCGTCTTCTGCATAACATATGTTTGTTTTTAATATAACGATATAATTAGGATATTTGCTTATTAATTTCAACTTCTTTCTTATAAACAACTACTCTATTTTCCCACTCAAATGATAATTCCACCCACCATAGAAAATTAAAAAATTAAAATGTTATTTCCCCACCCACCATTATTCCCAAAATAACCATAATATATATTTTTTTAAATAACTCTGATATATTTTTAAATGATATTATAAATTAATAAATAAAAATATAAAAAATGAAAGAAAATGCAAGACCTAAGACCTAGACATTCATCATCTCCTTCACACCTAACG